AAAAAAAAAAAAACTGTCTTTCTTTCTCCTTCCTTCCTTTCTTTCTACTGATCTATTTATATAGTCCCATAAAAATATGTGCTCCACAAGGGCATAAGTTTTTGTCTGTTACCTTCAATGCCTATCACTAGTACCTAAAATGTTTAACAGAAGAATCACTGTTCTTCCTGGGAGCTTATATTCTCTCTTTGAATTTAAGATTCAAAGATCATCTCTCAGAGGACAGGGTCTTTAGTTAAAGACAAAGTATTGATTTTGGATAACAAAGTCTAAGGTCCATAATTCAGGAGCTAAAGATCAAAGATCATATTTGGAGGTCAGAGGTCTGAAGGAACCATCGCCAGAGTTCTAACTTTTAAAAGTCTAAAGACTGGGGTTAGGAAGGTCAAATCAGGTTTTGAGATCAGTGACTAGAATGTGGATTCCAGGAACTGAGAATCATAGTTAAAGAAAAAAACGTCAGGAATCATTGGGCTGGTATTAAAGCTGGATAAGAAATAAGCTTTGTTAAAAATTAGGACGTGGGGATTACAGGTCAAGAAGTCTAGCATCCAAAGTCAGACTTAGGAGTAAAAGGTTAGGAAGCCTCAGGGATCAGAGACTAAAGAGGAATCAGACGCTGGATCCCAAGGCTCCGTTTGGTAGCCTAAGGGTCACTCACGTGTCCCCATCCTCAGTGACGTAGCCAAAGACCAGGGGCGCCCAAGACAGCCCCGGTCCTGTGGGGGCCGCTGCGTCCGGACCCAGGGAACCCAGGCCGCTGTCGCACCATTCATCAGCGTCCGCAGTTTTTCCCAAGCACGCGACCCCAGCCATGGCCCCAGCCACCTCCGGAGCCCCAGCGGTTGCCCGCCTGCAGCTGAGCTCTGCCGGGAGCTCGGGTGCTTCCGCCTTATGGGAAATTCCCCAACACGCCCCCTAACCCATCCAATAAAAGAGGACTAAATCACTCACGCCCCGCCCCCATACCGCACAGTGACCAATCAAAGTACTTGGATGGACTACGGCTCTCTACCTGTTCCCACATTTTCCGTGAGCCCTTTACCAACATGGCTGCTGACGCCAGGCCCTCTGGGACCGGTAGTTCGGCCCTTTCGTCAGTGTGCGTGTGCGTGTGTGTGTGTGTGTGTATGTGTGTGTCTTTTTGAGACTGAGTCTTGCTCTGTTGCCTCGGCTAGAATGCACTGGCATGACATAGCTCACTGCAATTTCTAACTCCTGAGTTCAAGGGAGGATCTTCCCGCCTCAGCCTTCCGAATAGCTGGGATTACAGGCACCTGCCACAGCGCCCAGCTCATCTTTCTATTTTTCATATAGACTGGAGTTTTGCTCTTGCTCAGGCTGGTCTCGAACTTCTCAGTTCAAGTGATCCTCCCCCTTGGGCCTCCCAGAGGGCTAGGTCGCGTGTCTTTCTTACCTAAGAGGGGCGTGCCTCGATCGTTGTCGGAAAACGCCTCTGCAGCTGCGATGGCTGCTGGGAGCTGTAGTTCTCTGCCTTATCCCTGCCCATCCCATTTCCGGTACCGTCGCCGGGCAGAGCGGTCGGTGACAGCCCCGAAGGCCCCCGCCCGCGCCCATGGCCGAGCCGGACCGTGAGTCGGGAGCCCCGGTGGGAGAGTCGGGCTGCGCCGGGGTCTGGAGGAGAGCTGCAGGCCCCGGGGCCCGATGGCGGGCACGGAGGGGCGGGAAATAAGAACTACTTGGGGGAATGGGATTAGGAGTGCTGTTGGCTAAGTCATCCATATTGCTAGGTTGGGGGTTTCTGGGACGCAGGATGTTAAGGGTCCGTTTACTATGTCCGCTTGCCGAGCTACCAGTGATCGCGTATTACTAGCAGCTTGGTTGCTAAGGACCCTCGTTGGTATGAACTTAGGTTGCCGCGGTCCAGGTTGCTAAAGGTATCTGGTTGTTAGGGGCACCTGTAGCATCCTAGGGGACCCTGATGTCTCACCCTATCTCTTCCCCCTAGTTCTCTTAAACCTACCATTTCCACTGCACCTCCTCTGCCAAACCCACCTCTGAGTAGAGGTATCTCTTCTCTCTTTCTTTTCTTTTCTTTTCTTTCTTTCTTTCTTTCTTTCTTTCTTTCTTTCTTTCTTTCTTTCTTTCTTTTTTTTGTTTGTTTTGAGACAGAGTCTCAAGCTGTCACCCTGGGTAGAGTGCCAGAACGGCACAGCTCACAGCAACCTCAAACTCTCAGGCTTAAGTGATTCTCTTGCCTCAGACTCCCAAGTAGTTGGGACTATAGGTGCCTGGTACAACACCTGGCTATTTTTTGTTGCAGTTGCCATTATTTGGCGGGCTGGGGCTGGATTCCAACGCTCCAGCTCCCGTGTATGTGGCTGGCGCCCTAGCCGCTTGAGCTACAGGTGCCAAGCCTTCTCTCTTTCTTTCTCAACTTCCCTGTGCCTTGTAAATCTAACGCTCCTAAGCACACACTCACACACCGCTGTGCTCATCTTAACTCCCCCAAGTCTTCCTTCATGCCACATTCCCTCCTTTCTCCTTCCTCTCCTCCCAAAACTTCCCTCCCCAGCCTTTCTGTCCCTCCCTAACCACCCCTTCTGGCAGCACTTTCCACTCTAAAAATATCTGCTTTTCTGCAACCCTCCATCCCTCTACTCCATTGTTATCACCACCTGACACCAGTATAACTAGGTTGGGGGGGTCTTCTTGCCCCCCAACACACTGCTGCTTCCAACCCCTTAACCATTCTCCCCACTGTAACCACGTACTCCCCCCTCTCCCCTAGCCTCTGACTCTCTGGAGACCCAGGCAGGGAAGGTGCAGGAGGCTCAGGTGAGATGGGGAAAGGGTGGAGGGAAGGGGGAAAAGGGTGGAGGGAAGGAGAGAAGACAGACTTGTTCCCACACCCACTCTGGGGAGGTGGCAGAGGGGAGACAATTGGCCCGGGGCCTCTGTGGCTGATTGGATTGCCTCCATTCCCTTACCCCCACAGTCTCCCGGGGCCTGCGCAGCCTTAACCCCAGGCCTGCCCTCCCAGACTTTCTTCTTTCTTTGCCACTTCTTGCTCCCCCCTCCAATCCCGCACCCCTTCTGAACCAAATTTGTGCTGGGCCTAGAAAAGAGAGGTATTGGATTTAGTCTCTGAACTCACAGATCTTACAGACAAGTGTTGAGAGAATTACCCTGCAGGGTGATTATAAAAGTAGCTGAGGACAGCCCACAGTAAACTTTGCGCATCAAAAAGGATTCCAGGCTGGGTGGTAGCCTATTCCAGGCAAGCCTTCCCTGGAGGAATCTATAGGCAGCTCTAGCAGAGATAGAGACACAGCAGAATAAGAGTGACTTATAATTTTCTTAGACAAGATGAGAAATGGTGTTCCATGCAGAGGGTACAACTTGTGCAGAGACCCGGGGACATGAAAAAGTGTAATATGTTCAGTGGCTGGCTAGCTGGGGGTGGTTGGCTAACTACAGGTAAAGTTAACATGTATTGACTACTCATTCCAGCCAAGCACTGGGCTTAGTGCTTTATCTCATGTAATCTTCCCAGCATCCCTGTGGGGGGTAAGACCTACGAGGCCATTTCACAGATGAAGAATTTGAGGCAGAATTGTTGAATAACTTATCCTCTATTCCTCAGCTAGAAGAGCAGGGAAGGGTCTTCAACCCACAGCACTGGCCATGCTGCCTTCTAGATGCTGCAGAGAGAGGCAGACAGAGCGCCTCACAGAAGCTTGTAGGCCCCCCCTCCCTCTAGCTCCCCCTTAAGCCAAGTCACCCCATATGCTGGGTAGATCCCTTGAGTCCTTCCACAGAGCTGCTATGTACAACCTAAAAGAATGGCAGCCCACCCACACCCATGAGAAGGCTTTTCAGATGTGGGGCAGTGCAGAAGCAGGGATTGAAATACCTCACAATACCATTGATTCTGACTTGGTGGAAATTAAAGAAAACCCTCAGAAATGCCCAGCAGGGAGAGGCCAAGTGTCTAAGAGCCTCCTGTTAGGCTGTGACGTTACTCGCCTGGCTCCCAAAGCACAACTACTGTCAGAGTAAAAAGTTTAATATTAAAAAGAGATCCTCAGTCCCAAAGAAGGAGATGTGAGGATGTAAATTGCAGCATTGTCCCTAAGAGGGCAAAACTGGAAATAGTCCAAATGGCTGTCACTAGATGGGTTAAATGAACTATAGTTCCTCCATACAATGCAATACTATGTAGCTGCTTAAAAGGAGGAGGCGGGTCTGTAGTATATTGTTCTGTGGAAAACACAAGGTTTGGCGTCACACTGTGTGGTATAACCTTTTTGTAAAAATAATGTAAAATAATGAGTTTTGGCCAGGCACGGAGGCTCACACCTGTAATCCTAGCACTCTGGGAGGCCAAGGCAGGTGGATCCCTTAAGCTCAGGAATTCAAAACAAGCCTGAGCAATAATAAGACCCCTCCGGGCATTGTGGTGTAGCTGTAGTCCCAGCTACTGGAGGCTGA